ATGTTTGTTAGTCTCTTCAAGAACATCTACACAGCAACATTATTTTGATATAACTAAGTCCGTGTCTACACAGCAGGCAGTTATTTCAAAATAGTGTCAAAATATTGTCAAGCTGGAGAACTTCTTACTCTGACTCCTGTAACCCTCATTGTACGAGGAGGAAGTCAGAGGAAGAGGGCTCTATATCAAAATACATGCTGTGTGGACGCTCCCAATTTCAAAAGAAGCTACACAAATGGCATAGCTCAATTTGTGCAGCTTATTTCGAGGTGAGCCCTGCTGTGTAGACGCACCCTTAGGTGCCCCGGGACTACTCATTTTTTTCAGAATTAGGAGGTAACTCCATGAATCTGCCAGACATTAGTTAGTATTTGTACTATTATTTTTTATTTATATTATAATGGCACGTCAGAGCCCCAATCATGGCCCAGGACTCCACGGTAGTAGGTGCTCCAGGATCATCTAGAGGCTTCAATCAGGTCAAAGTTCCGTTTCGCTAGGCACTGCACTAACATATAGAAAATGACAAAGACTTTATAGTCTAAAGCAGGGGTGGCCAACCCACAGATCTCAAGTCACATGTGCTCATTTGCTTAAAGAAATACAGCTCTTGGGTAGTTCTGAGCCGCGCACCCAGACTGCTCACAGCCGGCTTCTCTACGCACGCACCACAGCGCCTGGAGGGAGAAGTGCATAGCAGTGACGGCTCCGGGAGCCAGGCATTGGGTTAAAGCGGGGGGGAGGGGGAGAAAAGGAAGACGGCTGGGGGTGCCTGGTTCTGGGAGAGGGGGAGGGCATTGGATTAGAGCAGGGGGGCTGGGAGTGCCTGGCTTTGGGGGGAAAGAGGGGAATTGGGTTAGAGCAGGGGGGCTGGGAGTGCCTGGCTTTGGGGGGAAAGAGGGGAATTGGGTTAGAGCAGGGGGGCTGGGAGTGCCTGGCTTTGGGGGGAAAGAGGGGAATTGGGTTAGAGCAGGGGGGCTGGGAGTGCCTGGCTTTGGGGGGAAAGAGGGGAATTGGGTTAGAGCAGGGGGGAGGGGTGGAAGCACCTTAAACTCAAAGTCTTCATGGATGCAGAATAAGGCAGCCAACACAGAGGTCATATTTAAATTCCAGGCCAAAAAAAGAATCAGCATGTACCTGGTTTACACTGTGTTTCTTTAAAGGCTATTGTTTGCCAGGCTGAAGCAATTATTCTGAGATACGAGTCTCTCCCTTCTTGTTTTTGAACCTCTCATATTTGCGATCTGGGCCAGACCTGAATTTTTAGAACTATAAAAAAAGCTATAATCTTCATAAGTAAAAAAAAATGAGGAAACCAGACCAGAGATCAACAAGCTGGAATGAAACAGGCACTTAAAATTGTGCTAATTTACTTCTCAGTTCAGTTTAATTTAAAAAAAAACCTCACAGCACATAATAGGGCAGTAATGGTAAATTTAAAATACGTGGTGGGGATGCTTTTTTTAGTGTGAGAATATTACTGTATTTTTAAAGGTTTTCTTTTTTTAATTTGATATTTGTTCTTTGTCAAGTTCTCTGAAGATCTGTGGACTGGCCGTCAATTTTTTAAGTGACTAGAGACTTTTTTATTGTTTTTTGTCCAAAATGTCCTGTAATATTATTTTTATTACTACATTTTGTGTACTATATCTATCTATCTATAGATAGATATAGGTAAAAATAAATATAGAATACGTAGCTCTTTGCACTCTATCCACAGCTATTTTGGTTCTGTGTCTCTAACTGGTCGGCCACCCCGGTCTAAAGGAAAGAAAGGAATCAAAAAGGCAAGGACACGGGAGCTGGAGACAGAAAAAGTGAAGTGAGACGTGAGCCTCGCCAAGGCAGCAAACACACTGAGCATGGTCCATCCGACACAGGAATAGGGTTCTTACACAAAGAACAGCGCTTAAAACCTGGGGAGCTGGGCATGGTGCTTACTATGACTATTTATGGGAAGAAAACCTTGGAAAACTTTTTTTGGGGGGGGCAGGGTGTGTGTGTGTAAATAACAGCTAACGAGGGAATAACTCACCAACTAATTAGAGGTAAGAGCTGGGGAAAAACTAGTTTACGTATCTAAAACACAAGACGAGGCTGGGAACACTGCCAAGCTCCGTCTGTGACCGGAGACGGTAGAGAAGGCACTGGGGTGGGAGAACTCACACATGCGCAATGCCTGCACAGTAGAAGCGTGTGGCTTGAGGTGCGCGCACGCACGGCTCCGGGGACACTGCTCTGAAGACTCCGGAGGAAAGGTTCGGCGGTGGTGCACCAACTTAACGTGGAGCACCCACAGGAACATCTCGAAGAAGAAGAATACAGACTTCCAGCGGGGAAGGAACAAGAGGTATAGATGGACCCTTCAGAAACCAGTATCTAGGCATCAGATTGTCCTTAATGCCCTCCCCTAAGAAAAAGGAGAGGGACTCTGTAGAGCTGGTGGCCAATTTTTTTGAAGACTTTTTCCATCAGAACAGTTCTTAGGTTCAAATCAGGCAGAGCAGGGACCAGAGCAGGCAAGCTATTAGTGATTCTGGAGTCAGTCGGTCACATGCTCTTGCACTCTCTTTTTTCAGAAAAGGTCTCCATTACATTCCACGCAGAACAAAAACAAATGGAAAAACCTCAAGTGTTTGTTTTTTTTAATGGAATCTGTGTTTTCTGGCCAGCTCTGTGGCTCCAACACAAAGGGTGAGAGTATAGGGTGTGTGGGCAACAACTCTTCCATTTCTTTTTTGGTATTAACTTCTCCTGCTCTGTTGGCAGATCTCCAGAACAACTACGAACCCTTCCCTTCTGCTCTGGAGGCATTTTAGCAAACTGGCTGCCAACCCAAACCAGATAAATCTCATATGGTCTGCAAGTTCCACCTTTCATTGACTGAAAAGGACTTCAGGCTCTCACCGGTCAGTGGTTCATATGAGACGGACATCCACTCATCCTCTCCCAGCTAGGGCCATACCAACGCTTCTTTGCCTGAGTCCCTTCACTGGATTTCTCTATTCTAACTCATCAAATTCAAGTTAATCATTCTCCCTTTCAAGGCTCTGCACAACCTCAACCCTCCTACATCGAATCCCATTTCCTACCCAGAGCCAGCCCAAGCTACAGGCTGACCGGGCTACCACCCAGGGCGCAATATTGTAGGGGATGCCACACGGGGCTGCTGGACGGGGCGGGGGCGGGGCCATGCACGCGCCAGGTGCCCTGGGCGGGGTCACACATGCGCTAGGGGGCAGTGCCGCGCTCCCGGGGCGCACGAATGGCTCGGGCCGGCCCTGTTCCTACCACATGCATCCTGCTCTCTCTCCTCAGGAGGGCTCCTTACTGCCCCCTTGCACCTTTCTTATGTACTGCATCAGAAGCTTCTGAACAACCTTTCGAGCAACAGCTGCCTCTTGCTCTCCCACTCCTGAACAGGCCTCGGCTTTGAAGAAAGCTAGCTGGCAATTTTCAATGCTGAGCATATTCTGCTGTACAATACTCTGTACTGCACCTTCTTGGCCCATTAGACTGTAGGCTCTTCAGTGCAGGGACTCAAGTGTTCAACACATTTAGGTATCACACCCACAGACACATTTACTGCATGATACCGCAGGGGGTACTAAAAGAATTCAGTAAACGTTCACACCTTCACAGGTTGCCCAGTATTCAGCAAGTGCACTCCAAGGTTTCACTTTGGCATATCAATGACGTTAGGCCAGTCTCAGATTGGTAATCTGCTGTTATATTTGAGGCCAATGGGGTTAGGACCAATCCACGATTTTAAGCTATTTACTTGTTCCCATAACATAAAAACTAGGAGTCACCAATTGAAATGAATAGGCAGCAGGGTTAAAACAAACAAAAGGAAGTATTTCTTCATGCAGCATACAGTCAACCTGTGGAACTCCTTGCCAGAGGATGGTGTGAAGACCAGGACTTTAACAAGGTTCAAAAAAGAACTAGAGAAATCCATGAAAGATAGGTCCATCAATGGCTATCAGACAGAACGGTGTCCCTAGCCTCTGAATGTCCCAGAGACTGGGAATGGGTAATAGGGGAGGGATCACTTGGGGTGTGTCTAAACTACAGGGTTTTTTTAAAAAAGTAGCCTTTTTTTAAAAAAAATCTTCACCTGCATCTAGACTGCATCCGTGTTCTTTTTAAGGTAAATTGAAAGCATTCGGCAGTTTTTTCGATCGCGGTAAACCTCATTTTACGAGGAATAACGCCTTTTTTCGATAGTACTCTTTTGAAAAAAGGCGCTATGGAATGCAAACGGTGCTTTTTCGAAAGAAAGCGTCTAGACTCTCTTTTGAAAAAGTGGCTCGCTTTTTCAAAAAAACTGCTTGTAGTCTAGACGCTATCTTTCGAAAGAGACCTGTAGTCTAGATGTAGCCAGAATGATTCCCTGTTCTGTGGACTCCTGGCATTGACCACTTTTGGAAGACAGGATCGTTGGCTAGATGAACCTTTGGTCTGACCCAGTAGGGCCGTTCTTATGTTCAAGGAGATAGAATCAGATGAAGTACCGGCTCCACTGGATAGACTTTGGATTGTTTTCCTACTTAAAATATGCCCTGGTCCATTAGTAGCATCTTCTTAGGTGAGACTAACGAGGTGCCGTTTCCTTCCTAGTCTGGTTTGGGGGGATTAATGGGGTTATTTTGGATAGTGTTCTGTAAGCCTCACTGTTTCATTTGGTAATGGAGGCTGGTTGCCCTCTGACATTTTCTGCCTTTCATTTACCTTTCTGTGCAGCAATCGGCTACTGCTAGCACTTGCACTTCAAATGATAAATATTTTTCCCCTCCACTGTGGATGTCAACAGGACGTTACTCAACACCGCAACGCTCATTCCATTGGCATTGCAGGACCCTGTGATTAATCCTGATGCAATAACCACCCCCGCCCAGTATGGTGAAGTCACACAATTGCACTCAAGTGGCATTTGCAACCCACAACTGAATGATGGGACATCGGGCTCCTAGCCACGAGTGCTGAAGTAAGCTTACCTGCAGCAGCCAGGTGAGCAGTGACTTCATCGGTAGCCGTAGAGTTGAGGATATCAGAGTCATCGTAGGAGGTATCCTCAGGGGAAGATGGCGAATCTTCATCTGCACTCAACATGCTGTGTTCTGTGTAGGTGGCCACATGGACCTGCTGCACCTGCTGGGCCACTGCATGGGCCTCAATGGTGTCCATGTGTTCCGTCTTGGTCACCCCGTGTCCTTCCATGAATAGCTACTGTTAAGGGAGACAAAAAATCACAGGGCAGACATTCACCAACTGATACACTGTAATACAAATGGGGTTGCCCACCTCTCCTGCCACCCTCAGATCACTCCGCTGACGAAGAACGAGAAGAGACATTTTTAAATTGTGTTTCCTGTTTAGACTCTAGGCATCGAGTCAGAATGATTATGGCCGAACACAATGGTTTCATGAAGTACCCTTGCCTGACAGGACTTAGCAGTGAACCACTGAATAAAGGAATAAATGTGTAGCATTTATATAATGTTGTATATTCTCAAAGAACTTTACAAACATTAATATATCCACCCTCACACAGTCCCTGAAAAAGCTTGGGGGAAAGACTGGAGCAAAGAAATGGCAGGGATATGCACAAGCCATATGTTACGTGACACTCAGATTGATAACAGTCTCTCTGCTCTGTTACCACTGAAAGGCTTCATGGAAGACTTTTAAATGGTGAAGTGTGAATGGAGAGGTTTTAAGTGGAGAGGTGTGAATGAAGAGAGGGTGGTTATCTAGGACACAAGAAGTGGAAGATCACTGCAGGCAGACATAAAGGAAAAAATGAGGAAGACGAGTGTGCAGGGCAGGACATAGATGCATCTGTTAAGGAGGAGGTTTGCATGGAGTGAAGGGCAAGGTAGGAGGAAGAAAGGGAAGCAAGAATGCATGTGGGGTGATTCAGAAGGAGAGAGGAAGCCAAAAGTGATATTTGAGAAAGGGCAGGACATGGTCAAAGCTGTGGGAGACACATTTTTCAGTAACATTTTCAACAGAGCGAGACAGAAGTAAAAAGAAAGAGTTGCAGCAGTCCAAGCCAGAAATAATCAGAGCTCGGATAAGGGATTTAGCAGTCAGGATGGAAAGGAGAAGACTGAGTTGAACAAATCTGTAAAAGAAGAGCTATCTGGATTTAGCAACAGCCTGCATGTTGTTGGGCGTCAGAGAAAGACATTATTCAGTTTCTACCACATGATGTTTGAGTAGGAGTCAGAACACCCGGGACAAGAGGTCAGGTGTCAGGAGAGGTAGATTTGGAAGTATCCACCTATGCTGTGGACAAAGACGACGTTTCCAGGCCTTTTTGAGACTTGGATTTAAAGCTATGATGTTAGCACGATGCATTGACTAATACATGCTACCACTACATATGGCTCACTAGCTCAAGCAAGGTTCTATATATGACCAGTAAGTAGGTGCTAATTGGTGGCCTAGAGAAGAGAGTAAATGAAGAAGACGGACGGAATCCAGAGGGCAGCAGTTCTAGGACTGTATTGGAGAAGTGGAAGTTCAGGGGTCGGAATAGTCTCAAGGAGCTTGGAGCTAAAGGGAGGAGCAAAAAACAGGGTAGCAGAAAGGCGAATGGGATAGATAGGACGCAGTGCCCACGTTTAATCCCCTTCCAGATTTTAGTTACAGGCTGGTTTCTAAAGCCTATGCGTGCCAGCCTCGTCTTCACCCAGACCCACAGTGACACTGCAAGGAGTTCTACCATCACGGAAGACCATTGTAGCCTAAAGGACACCAAACATGGGATACAAGCCCTTAGAATAGTCCATGTAAAACTGAAAGAGTCTGTTCTAAAATCCCTTCCCACATTCCTGGCTATCTAATAGCATCTGCTGCGTCAAGACAGATCAGATGCATCCCAAGTGCAAGAAACACAATTCCTCAGATAGCTTTTTACTGTTCAATTATTAAAGAGGAAAAATAATTTAGAGAAACGGATGTGAACCCCCAAGGACTCCCCCCCCCCCCCACCCGGGGTGCATAAGAGAGTGCCATCTGTACTGATGCTGAAGGGTGTGTGCATGGATTGTGTGGAGTGCGATGGTTTGAGGGATGACATTAAGGCACAACAGGCAGGACGGGGAAATCGACAGGAGGTTTAATGATCCAGATCTAGAGTTGGTTGAAGCAATGGGCAAAGCAAAGTGGCCAAAGCAAAGCCAGGCAGCGAATGATACTGGATACAGAGAAGGAACAGTGACGCCCACTGTCACAGCAGCACAAAAGGGGTCTGGAATTTCATAAGGGATCTAATTAGAGCAGGCTTTTAAGGTTTCAGGATTACCTGTCAGGTAGCACAGCTTACTGGGAGCCGGTGCCACTTCTGGAGGCAGCCAGCATGTCCCTGGAGTCCCCCGGGGAGGGGCAGCAGAGAGCTTTCTGTGCTGTCCCCGCTGGCAGTGCCATCCTGCTGCTCCCATGGGCTGGGAATGGGGAACCATGGTCAATGGAAGCTGCAGGAGCTGCCTACCCCTCCACCACCAGGAGCCACTGCGGGGAAGCGGCATAGGGCTGGACAGCGGGGCTGTGCTGTGGACCAGGAGCTGCCTGAGGTAAGTAGCACCTGGCCAGAGCCCGCACCTTGAACTCCTCCTGCACTCCAACTCCCTGACCCAGCTCAACAATCATGGTCCTCTAAACAATTTTCCTACCCAGGTGTGGCCCTCAGGTGAAAAAGTTTGCCCATCCCTGGGTCAGGTCCTATGTACTTGTTCTCGGGTCAGGCCCAGCTGAGGTAACCATGAGCGCAATGTGGGCTCCAGGGTTTGCAAGCACAGGCAGACCCATCAACCTCTCCCACCCAGTCAATTGGCAAATCTAATCATTTGCCCAACATTTGGGCAGCCTCCCCTGCACTTAAGAAGAGAGTCATTATATCTATGATCCTAATAGGAGGGCCTGGGACCTCATCAGAAGCCATGACAGCAAAACTCAGGTCAACATTTTAGGTGAGGGAGCGATATATTATTTATAAGGTTCAAATTTGGTCAGTTATTTTTAGTAAAAGTCATGGACAGGTCAGAGTCAATCAACATGGAAGCCCATGACCCATCTGACTTTTACAGAAACAATCTGGACCAAGAGCTGACTGAAACTTGAGCCGAGTGGGATGAGAGCCCGAGCCCTGCTGAGGGGTTGGAGGACGGGGTCCAGCTTCTGCCACCTGAGAACACTGATGGATCTAGGGCAGTGGTTCTGAACCTGGGGTGCACACACCCCCTGGGGGTGCGAGATGCCCTTTCTGGGGGTGCGAGACATGCCAGATTTTTATATCTTAGGTTTAAAGAACTGAATTGTTAAATATCCAACAATTTTTAATAAGAGGTGTGAGAACATATTTTGAGAACCAAAGGAGTGCAGGCTGCAGTAAGGTTAAGAACCACTGCTGGCTGGCAGCTCTAGCCCCAATGGAAGTGGAAAATGTCACGGAGGTCTGAAAGTCACGGAATGCACGACAATCTTATCGTAACTTATTTACTAGTACAAAAGAAGGGAATCAGAATACTAGGACTGGAAGGGACCTCGAGAGGTCATCGAGTCCAGTCCCCTGCCCTCATGGCAGGACCAAATACTGTCTAGACCATCCCTGATAGACATTTATCTAACCTACTCTTAAATATCTCCACAGATGGGGATTCCACAACCTCCCTGGGCAATTTATTCCAGTGTTTGACTACCCTGACAGTTAGGAACTTTTTCCTAATGTCCAACCTAAACCTCCCTAGTTGCAGTTTAAGCCCATTGCTTCTTGGAAGAGGCTTCCAAGGGTGGCCAGAAGGGCCTAAACTGCACACACTAATTCGAGTCATTTTTCTTTCTTTGAATCTTCATGGCAGGTTTCTCCCTTATCACCTTTTATAATACACTTTTCTGATGTCCGAGAGATTGCACAACCACTTCTAGGAGCTCGTCTACTATACTACAAGCACCACATGCAACACCAACTGTATAAAAAAGTGTGAGGCTCTATCAGCTTTCTGCGATGTGTTTTGAGCTCCTGAAGGAGAAGCAGCAGGAAAGTGCCAACTATTATTAGGGGGTGGAGTTTTATTAATCAGACAGTGTCCGAGCAGTAATACACAGGGAAGTTTCTAAAGGTCAGGGTGATACTGATTTATATCACAGCTGGTTGGCGTGTCATTCTAAAAACAGAGACCTTATTCCTGGAGTGGGGTGGGAAGAAGGGTTTGGTCACTGTAGTATTCAAGTACTTGGGTTGATTACATGGCTCACATGAGAGTTTATGTAGCTTGCCTAGCCTGCAGGAGGAAGGAAGCATGGTCTAGTGGTCAGAACAGAGAAATGGGAACCAGAACTCTTGAATTTCTGTAGTTCCCTTACGAAAGGAGCCTCTGACTTTTACTGGGAGGATCCTTTGTGCTGCAATTTAGCCCTAGATACAACTCCCATGAGCCTTTGGGAAAACAGGAGGGAAGGGTGGCTCTTCCAGGCATGGAGAGAGTTAGTAGTCTCCATTTTGGAGAGAGGAGCCAGGCTACTGGTGGGGAGCCTTTTCCAGGCCAGGAGCTGTTGTTGCAGTTAGAGCCTGTTACGGAGAGCCTGCTGGGGCTTGGATTTAGCAGGCTGCTTCGCAGGCTGTTGATTGTCCCTAGAGGGGAGAGTGCTTGTGGCCGAGAGGGGCCTAAGTAAACCTGCACAGGAGGTAATGGTGAGTAACTGGGCTGTTTGGAAAAGTGCTTCCTGGGACAGAGCACAGAAGACAAACTAACTCCTTGTCCAATGAGAGCTAGAGTGAGCTGCCCAGGGAACCAAAGCTACTGGCATTTAGTGGGGCCTGCTCCAGTGGCAGAGGGATTGTGCAGCTGGCTGCCTGCCCGTACTGATGAACACACAACCTGCCCAGTGCTGTCTCCACTCCAGCTGCAGACCTTCAAGCGCGCCCACGCAAGCGTCTGGGACTCTGAATCCAGAGGAGTACACTCTCTGGGGTGGGATAAATGGTGGCAGTGTAAATGCCAGATAGATGAGTTTCCTTTCTTCTGTGTACTTTGTTAATTAATTTTATTCACTTTTAATCGGTTAAACCCACTTTATTTAAGTTGTTAAGTAAAGGTGTGTTAATTCTAATTTAATCAATTAGAGATATATATATTAGTTATAAGTGTTATCTTGGAGTTAGATCCAAATTATTGCTGGAATAATTTTATTCTTGGAGGCACACCATTAAGTGTGTACAGGGC